TGTGGTATAGGAACCAGAGCTCCGACGTGGGAAAGGATCGTGTCTCTGATCTACCCAGGCTATTTGAGAGTCCTTGGGCAGAATGATTCATGCCATGCCTCCCTCCAACACCCAGTCTACAAACAGGGTAGTAAGCCCTGTCCCATGAACCATAAGTGGGAAAATGAAAGCAGTGTGCTCAGCAGAAGCCCTCTCTCAGACACTAAGTTATCACACTGTCTAGCTGATACCTAGCCCAAGGACAGAGTTGGGAAGAGAGCAGGTGATAGCAGAGTGGGAATGACTGTCAGTGGGTATGACTAGGAGAGACTGGGGAATCAAGTATGACATCAGGACAGAGTCAGAGCCATCATGTACTTGGACCTTCATCCCCCTCACTTTCCCCACTAGCTCTGGTCTTTGGGCACCGTGCCCGGCCTCTCTGAACCTCTGTTACCTCATCTGTTGTAGCAGAAGCATCTCATATATGCTGCAAAGATTAAATGAGATAAGGCAGTTGGGAGTGTCTGGATCCTGGCAAGGCTCAGATAAACATTGCCTAGCATTCTGAATTCCTTCAGACAGCAAAGCCTTGGCTTCTTTGGGGAGATTACCAGACCAGGCTGTCAGACAGTGCGATTTCTCTTCCCTCTTTCTGAGCTTATCACCTTACATAGCTGGTTTGTGTGGTCTGGGGCCATCATGGAGACTCAGGAGTGGTAAAGGTCCAGGGCCAGTGAGCCAATTCTTCTTGACAATGAGCAGATGAGCCTGGTGTGATGATGCATGCTTGCAATCCCAACATTAGGAAGATGGAGTCGGAAGGATCAGAAGTTCAAGGTCATCCTTAGCTATATAGCAAGTTTGATGCCAGGCTGTGCTAATTGAGATCTTGTCTCAAAAAGCCATACACTTATGGTCAATTGAACCTGAGACTCTGTGGCCTGTTGGAGTGACAGACTGTGCAGTTGGTTCTGTTTGCCCGGCATGAGGGCTCACCAGGGCATGCACTTGGAGAGGGGCCACCAGCCTAGCAGGTTAGTTATAACAGAGTACTGGGGAGTGAGCTAGGCCCTGGTCAGCATTCCAGGATTTAGTCTGCCACTCCAAGTCATATATTGTTCTGCAAAGAATGAATGCCTTTTCTAGGGTCTCAGTGTTTTAATCTGGATGATGGGAATCATCTGCAGTTGGCCTCTGGTAAACTCCAATGCCACTGTGATCACTTTAAATATCAGTTGAGTAAATGTTTTGAAAATGGAACCCTGCTGTTGGGCCCAGTTGGGGAGGCTGGCAGGCTGACTGGATGCTCCAGGCTATGGAAGCCATCATCTCAACAGGCCTTACATTTTGTGCCTGTCATGGAGCTGGTACATCCATCTGTGTCTCCCACCTTCCTGAGGTCCACTTTCTGCTGCAGAGGCACAGTTCTGCAGCATTATTAGGTCCATAGGCATTTCCCAGATACCTCTTTCCACATGGAATGCCCAGAATCTTGACCCTCCCTCTTTAACTTGTACAAGTTCAGAATCCCCTGGTTACTCACCCAAATGACCGCCAACATATATGTTCTTCATATCCATAGCACGTCTACTGGGGTTCCCTTGGGACACAGCTGCCAGTCTGGTTCTTGTAATAACATTTCACCACTCTCTAAAGGCAGCTGTGAAGGGACCACCTCTGTCAGTAAGCTATCAGTGTGAGTGTGTGTGTGTGTGTGTGTGTGTGTGTGTGTGTGTGTGTGTGTGTGTGTGATAGCAATACAGCAGGGAAAACATGGAGGTCTATGCCTAATAGATGTGGATCTTTAACAATTCACTTGATTCTGTCAACTGATGTGACTGACTGAAAGTGACCTTGAGCAAACCGTTGCCTGTTCTGGAAGTGTTCTTTCACTTCAGGATAGACACGCTGGAGAGTTCCTGCAAAGATTGACAAAGACATGTGCATTCCTCTGCCTCTATGGAGTCCGGTTGCTGAGCTTCCCTAGGGGGCACAGTTACAGCATTTTATGAGTCATGTTAACGCTGTCATCAACATTCCATCACTGCTGACTTCCCTCTGGCTTGAAAGTGCATGCTGGAAAGAACCACAGTGTGGTTCCCTGGCAGGCATTCTCCAGACCTTGCAGGCCCTGGTGCAGTGGGCTCGTATCAAATCCCACAAAGGGCTGTGTTCAGTGACTATAACCTCATTATCAGGGTGTAAGGCTATGCTAGACCTGAACTCAGTGAAGACTGCCCCAGATAAAGCCAACAAGGCTGGGGACCTGGTCACTATGGAGATCAGCCCTCCAACAATCCCAGTGGGAGCAGGAAATTTTGTTTAAATAAGCAGAAGAAAATGAGCTTCAGTTCCTCAGCAGACTGAGTTGTAATATTCTGAATTTCTATTCTGGCATTTTAACCTTTCAATATTGCCCTTAGGAATTCAGAGAGCAAATGATCTTCAAAATGGTGTGTATGTGAGAGAGGGGGTGGGTGGGTGGGAGAGAGGGAGGGAGGGAGAGAAAGAAGAGAATACTGTTTTCTTACTGTTGGCCCCAGTTCTCTGGTTATCAACATCATTTTGATGCTGAGAAGTTGAGGTTCTTTTAAGTTATAGACCAAAAGCACCTCATGGAGAAGGTGACTGGGGAGCTCTGGAACACACAGTAGAAGCCAGCCCTTGTAGCCAATTCTGTCACGGAACTCTTCTGTACTTTGTGGTCCTCACCTCTGAGATACTGGCAGTAGTTAACTCTTCATCTCCTCATTCGTGCGAGGATTAAATCAAGTGTGATGTTTGGACAGGCTTTGGCAATTCATGTGCTATGAATAGATTAGTTAATGTTTAACGTTTTAATGTCTGTGCTTCCTGCAAACACTGTAGTCCCGTGAGGCCAGAGCATCGGGCCACTGATGGAGGATGTGTCCAGGGCATGATGAGGCATCAGCTATGTAGCCTGATCACTTCCAATTGTCGTTTGTAGAGCTAGTTAACATGGCAGAATCTCAGGCTCTCTGACTTGAAACCCTGGGAGGAGGTGACTCAGGAATCCAAATCTTTAACCAGCATCTAAGGTGATTCTATTGAACACTGTACTGTAAGAATGAAGGATCCACTGGTGTGTTTTGAAAGATACTGCTTTATTCCAGAAGTAATCCTGAACACCGGTCCCATCCCAGGGGTGGTTTGTCAAGGCCATCTGTGGCAGCAGGAAGACACACCAGTGGGCAGCCCACTGTTCTGTCCTCAACCAAGCAGGAGGTGAAGATGCAGGGCCAACCTGAATTCTGCAGGCCACACGAGGAGACCAAGGGCTGAGAAGATTGCCAGTATTCTGCTTGCTCGTCTCTTCTCTGAGAGGCAAAGCCACCCCCAGACAGTATCAACACAGCTCTGAAAAAGAGAGAAAGAAGCCAAGACGGAGGGGAGCTGGGTGACTTGCCCTGGGTCCTGTGAAGTCGGAGAGCAGTGTGCTGGTAAATGCTTAACCACAGGCTCAGCTAATAGGAGGCCCCGAGTTGTGGTTGTGGCATTTGCCTGTTTCTGTGATGTGAATGTCCCTGGCATATTAGGTTTCAACTACTAGCAGGCTTCCTCTGAAGGGAGCTTCGGAAGAGCTCCCAGAGCACCCTCGAGAGCTGGTAAGAAGTGGTCCCAGCACATCCTACTGTGTACGGCTGTCGTTTGTTGCAATGACTGTTAATGAGCATCTGCCAAGGTGCAGGGGAGAGAGGACATTGTTTTCTCTGCTTTCCCAGTGCTTTATATGAACCCCCTCCATGCTTGAAACTCTGTGAGGAGAGATAATTAGTGTGATGGGGGAGACAAAATAGTTCCCTTGGGGAAACTGTCGATGCTTGGCCTCCTTTGGACTGAGGTCTGGCCATGTGCCGTCATCATTGACCATATCACCAGGCTCTGAGACACAATGTAGGTGGTCACCGGAGGAGGTAGCATCTCACAGAAAGGGAAGAGGCTGAGGAAGCTCCGAAAGTTGTCACCTATCTGTCCACCAAGCACTTTTGAAACTGCAGAGTCCAGACTGGGGACAGGAGAGCCACAGTCCCCACATGTTTCCCCAAAGGGAGGCTGAGACACTTTATGTTCCAAGTTCCCATGATTCGGATCAAATCATGCCATCCATTCTCTAAACAGTTCACCCACATGCCTAATAAACATAACTTATTGTCTCACCAGCAATAACTTGCTGTCTCACCAGACCCAGAATGGATAGACAGCAGCTGGTACTGGACACCACATGTGCCCAGTACCAGTCACCTCAGGGCTACTTCTGATGGCTATGGACAGATAAAGTGTTCTCTTGGCTAAAGGCATGCCCAAGGGATGTCCCAGTGAGCCTCAAGTGTCCTTCCACCAAGTCTGAGAATGCAACTGAATGACTACAGAGTGATAGGATGAAGCCTTAGGGACTCAGTGCCCAGCAGGGTAGCAGTTGCCTGTGGACAGATGGGGGGTTGATCTCAGGAGATATCTGGTTCTAATACAGGATCGAGCTGTGAATTCCATCCCAGCTCAGCAGAAGCCTAACCAAGCTCCCCAGTTCATCTTAGCTTACAGCAGCAAGCCCAGATGCTGGGCAGCTATGGGACAGGTGGGCTGGGTCAAGGTCTGGTCAGCTAGGCGGGACCTAGTGGCATTGAGGCATGAGGGTGTCCAGGCATCCTTCTCTTTCCTTAGATTCTTTTGACTCAGCCTGTCTCCTGCTCATATAGGGGAGGATGGAAGGGGAAAGGAGGAGGGGAGCCACAGGGAGCCAGTCACTCTGCAAGGGAGCCTGCAGGGCTCTTTCCTTCCAAGTGTGTGTGTGAATGTGGTGTGTGTGTGTGTGTGTGTGTGTGTGTGTGTGTGTGTGTGTGAGAGAGAGAGAGAGAGAGAGAGAGTCTATCAGTGGGATTTCCTTCTCAGAAGCAGCCGGTTTCCTGAGAGAAAGAAGAGAGAAAGGAGAAAGGGAGGGAGGGGAAGCAAGAGGGAAGGAGAAAATTGGAGGTGGGAGAGACAGACGGGGGGAGGGGAAGCAGAAAGTGAGAGCACACTGGAGACTGAGCGCAGAGGCAGAGAGAGGGAGACAGAGAGAAAGCCAGAGCAGGAGGGTGTGCGGAGCAGAGCCAGAGCTTAGAGGGACCCGGTGAGGGCGGGTGCAGGCAGAGGCAAAGCCAGTGACCGCAGGCACCTGCGACCCAGGATCCCAGGGTACCACAGGAGTTCAGCGGAGCACCGGGCGACTTGCCAAGAGGTGGTGCGGAGCTGGGAGTGACCGCTCTCCCAGGTGCTCGCCGCCGGTGGTGAGGTGACCCAGAGTCCAAGTGGTTCTGCACCCAGGTGCTCGCCTGGGAGGTGGCGCGGGGCTCCGGGTGCCTGCGTCCCTAGGTGCTGGCCCAGGAGGTGGCGCGGGGTTTTGGGTTGCTGGACGCCCTCCGGGTAGCCATGGCGACGGGAGCCAGGGGTCTCTGGGCGTCCGTGTCGCCGAGGGGCTGAGCCGGCAGCAGGCTGCGCCATGGCGGCGCGGGGTTGCGGGCCCTGAGCGCCAGCTGCGGGCGCGCACCATGAACTCGTGGGACGCGGGCCTGGCGGGACTGCTGGTGGGCACGATCGGCGTGTCGCTGCTGTCCAACGGGCTGGTGCTGCTCTGCCTCCTGCACAGCGCTGACATTCGCCGCCAGGCGCCGGCGCTCTTCACCCTCAACCTCACGTGTGGCAACCTGCTGTGCACCGTGGTCAACATGCCCCTCACGCTGGCCGGCGTCGTGGCACAGAGGCAGCCGGCCGGGGACCGCCTGTGCCTCCTGGCCGCCTTCCTCGACACCTTCCTGGCCGCCAACTCAATGCTCAGCATGGCCGCGCTCAGCATCGACCGCTGGGTGGCTGTGGTCTTCCCGTTGAGCTACCGTGCCAAGATGCGCCTCCGTGATGCGGCGTTCATGGTGGCCTACACGTGGCTGCACGCGCTCACCTTCCCGGCCACCGCGCTCGCCCTGTCCTGGCTCGGCTTCCACCAGCTATATGCCTCCTGTACGCTGTGCAGCCGGCGGCCGGAGGAGCGCCTGCGCTTTGCTGTCTTCACCAGCGCCTTCCATGCGCTCAGCTTCCTGCTCTCTTTCATCGTACTCTGCTTCACGTACCTCAAGGTGCTCAAGGTGGCCCGCTTCCACTGCAAGCGCATCGACGTGATCACCATGCAGACGCTCGTGCTGTTGGTGGACATCCACCCCAGGTGAGAGGCCTGATCCAGGGCTCTGAGGGACACTGTAGTGTGTTGGGAAGGTCCCAGCATCCACGGTAGGGCCGTGGGAGAGTCCTCTTTCCACCTCACTGCATTAAGCAAGGGAGGAATGGCAGATGCTGTTTAAATGGTACCCAGAACTTCACTTTCTGAAACACCGCACTGAAATCCCAGCCAGAACTTCCTCCTTCTCCTTATACTCATCCTGGGCAGTGGGCTTTGTTCAGTGTGCAAAGCTTGGAAAGGGTTTGGATCTGGCCCTGAGAGGGGGTGTCTGGAGGCTTAGAAAACCCTTAAGAACTCTTCAGACTGTGCTGTTACTCCTCTGGCTCCTTGTAATCCTGGGTGTGGTGCTTTCTTGGTCTCCCTGTATGTGTGCCTGAGTCCCCAAAAACAGATCCACAGCACCTTTGCCCTGTGGTAGGTCCTGAGGGCCTGGGCTTGTCTTGCCTCCCTTGAGGGCTCTGGCCCCTGTCTTGTGGACTTGGAGCCTCAAGGTCCCTTCAAGAATTTGTTCCTCAGCCTCCTGAAACTAAGCCTGTCCACTCATCTCCATCCTCTTGACCCACTGTTTCTCAGGAGAAGACTGAAGGGGGCAAATGGAAGAACCGGCTGGGAACCTCTGTGGTCCTCAATGTCCCTTAGGGAGAGAAGGAGAGAACTGTCCATCAGGCTGTCCTGGGCTCACTTCATCTTTGCTCTTGAGACTAGAACATCGAGAGGGAGGGTGCTTCCGTGGCCTCTGCCAGCTTATATATATTAAAAGCCGGCTCGCTCTCTGCTTCCCAAGAGTCTATAGATAAGAGCTTAGGAGTCCACTTGGCACAGAAGACACAGCATACAGGGAGCACTGGTGATGGAAAGTTACAGTTCTATGTGTGAGCAGGGCCCCAGGATTCAGGGAGCCTTAGGGTAGGGAAGAGTGTGGACTCCAATGTGTATTAGCCTTACAGGGCACAGCAAACAGACAGAAGGTGTTAGTCTGAGCAAAAGCCCCTTGTGGGGCTTCCCTGCCTTGACCAATAAGCAGCTTCTGAATTTCACCATGCCTGCGCATTGGAAGGGCATGGCTGAGTGTGTCTACTGTTCCCCTCTGAGCAGTTATTCCCAATGACTGGCTGCTCTAGTCCTCTCTACATAAAATCTTCCCCACAGAAACTTAAACAGAATGTGCTTGCATCAGCTCTCTCTGCCTGGGTCTGTGCAGCTCAAAGAGTCATTTCAGGAGAAAGTCTGCAGCCACGCTCGCAGAAACATTCCTGTTCATCATCCTTCACTTTAGAAAGGGCCATCTCCAGGGCTGGGGCTGGGGCAGCTTGTGAGGATGCAGGCAAGTGTTAACTCTTGCAGACTTGAACTAATCCTAGAAAGCCTATTCACCCAGCCTCCCAGTGGAGGGAAAGAGAAGCGGAGCCCCGAGAGGAGCCAGTTCTTTTAGAGACAGGGAAAGCCTGATCTCTGCTCTTAATCCCCCAGAGAGAAGGGTAGATGCCACTTTGCAGTCTATTTAGGGGCAAGGGCTTCCTCTCCTCCTGCCTGGCTCTCTGACTTTAGGTCAGAACTTCAGAGAGTATCTAGGGGTGCCATAAGCAAAGACAGACACGGGGCTGGAATCCAGGCCCCTGTCAGCTCTGTAGAGAACCTTGACTTAAGCCTCGGGCTGTGTGGAGGAGCCCCTGCTTCTAGACTCTCCAGGAAGCTCCATCAGGTCACAGAGCCATGGACTCCTTGGTGAACACAAACTGTCTTTTGCAGAGGTCTCAAGCAGGAGTGTGGGAGGTGGGTTCCACAAAACACAACAGCCAGACCACTTCCCTGACAGCTGATGGGATGGCTGTCACTTCAGTGGCACAGTTGAGAAGTTGTGGTCTTAGCTCTGAAGGCTGTGGTGGAGTCCTGCCCCACCCCAGGCTATGACATCCTTTGGTGCCAAGAACCTATGTAGTCTTAGGGTGTCAGTTTGGACAGCCAGAGGAGCAAGTGGAGTCTTAGCTCACCGGAAGTCATCCCAGCTACCCCCGCATACCCTAGGATTTAGCTAAGAGACCTGCTTTGTCTTGCCTGGAGCCCAGGTACCATTTGTTAGGAAGTGATGGGAGGTAGCTGATTTTCCTGGAGGCTGAGTGGCAAGTTTTACCCCTTTGCTACAATCACCACCTAAACAGCAGGATTCTTTTCTAAATCTGAGACCCAGAATAGCATCTCCTGTTTCTGTTGTCCTGTGGTCCTTTCCCAAGTCACCTCATTTGGGAAGCAAGTTTCACTTTGTGGTATCTGGTCCACACTCAGCTCCCCACCTGCCCAGTGTCTGTCACTCAGTTCTCCCAGTCAAAACTCTAGGAGGGCTCTAGTTAGACCTGTTCAGCTGTCGCCAGGTTCAGCTGTCGATCAGGCTTCATGGCCCAGCTCCAGTGCCCTCTTTCCAGCCCAGACCCGGCTCACTATGCCAGGTAGATGGCTTCCTGGAGCTAAGTTGTTGGTGACAGAGACTCTCCTACAAGCTGAATGGGAACTTCCCCATAGTATTACCGGGGTCTATCTCTAACCAACCCCTCAACATCCTGTGAACCATGACCACAGGGGCTGGGTGAGCACTGGCTCTGCAGGATGTCAGAAGTTGGCCAAGGAGGCAGAATCTTACTGGACCCTTAACTTTGCAGAGGTAGAAGTTGGTCCCAAAAGAGAGGCACTTGATGAAAGTAGCTCACACCCAGGTCCAAAACCAAGTCTGTCCTTGAGATTTATAGATGGAGCAACCAGGCAGATAGAGGCTTACAAACTATTTATGTAGATGCTTAGAAGTTCTAGTTTAGCTTACAGATGGTTACATGGAATACATTCTAATCCCCCTATCTTGGCAAATATGCTTCCTAAAAGTGGGGCTCAAATTTAGGATTTACAGGCTCTTTGGAGGCTAGCCTCATCTGGGCTAGAGAACACTAAGTGGTCCACTTACCTTACTTCTCCATTCTTGACTCCACCCAGCACAAGAGGTGCCTCTCTTGGACCATGTGCACACTGAAAGTCATATAGTGACGTTCCATGTATATGTGGTACTCCTTGGGCCTTGAACTGAGTACATCCACAGTATAACCCACCTTTGGGTGGGGACCAAGGGTCTGCATGTATTTTGGAAACAGAATCAAGGCATTTGGACAAGGATTATGTGCCCTAGAAAATTGGGAGTTTACTCTAGAGTAGAAGGTGTGGGCTCCAGCTTACACATATGGGGCCTAGAGCAGGGACCATATTTGCTAGATCTCAGAGGGGGACTGATAACGCCAGCATCCTAACTGAAAACTCAGGGCTCTTTCTCACCATCAGACATCTTGTCTCATGTCTTAAAAGCCAGAAAACCAACAGGGACCAGCCTGTGAATGCTCCAAGTGTGGGCTCTGGTAGGACAATGGACATCTCAGATCATCGAGGACTTAGCCATCTCAGAGTCTTCTATCACTGTCTATTTAGATGCTTCCAGAGTTGCTGTTACTGCAGCCTGCTGAGTACATCTCTTTGACTTCACATGTCAGAAAGCCAGAGAGCCTGTCTGCTTTGGTCTCAAATCTTGTGACACCCCCCACTCCTACTCCAGGCTAGCACATATGTTCACGCTACAATCAGGGTTCCCTAAGTGAGTTTTGTACCTCATATTCTCTGCATCACAGACTTCTTCGTCCAGGAGTCCAAGGACTCTGGGTGCCACAGTCAGACCAGATGAAGCCATGAGGGTAAGGGGAACACTCTAGAGTCAGGTCAGGAGATTTGAGTTGATGTTTGTTCTGTCCCAAACTGCTGGTATGTTTCTTAGGCATGTCCTAAACCACTTGGGTACTCAACTAAGAATAATAACTGGGTACTCATTGTGAGCACAATGGCAGCTCACAGAACACAAGATTTTAGGGATCTCAGGGTTGCAAAGCTAAGGTGAGGGAAATGACAGCAAGTGGGTTTGTGATCCTATCATTCTGAGATCCCAGTGAGCTGTCTCATACCTAAGTGATGGGGGTGCTAAGCTGATGGTCAAGCTGCTTCCCCAAACATGGGGTCACCTGACCTTACTCACCTCCTGCCACCACCACACTATTACCCAGGAAACAGCAGAGCCCAGGAAGGTAGAGCTGGCTTCAGCCTTATCCTTTACAATAGCTCGGGGAAGGAGTGGCACACCCCTAACTGGAAGCTCTGGGCTGGTAGTCAGCGCCCATGTGTCTGAAGTCCCACTTGTACCCGATTCTCAAGGCAGGCAGGTCCTCCAGGCCTTTAAGCCCCGGTCTCCCCATCTGTAAGCTTGGGTAGGCATATGCTGCAGAGTCTACTGTTCTGTCCCAGCAGTAACATGTCCCTGGGGCAGAGGACCCTCTGCAGACTTTCTCTGTGGTCTACTGGCCCCTCACATTCGAATCTGTGATGTCCCTGTAAGCCCCAAGTGGGCCACAGAGTCAACTCAGTGTTAGGTGGCATGATGCTAGTTCACAATACCCCTGGTACAGTCCCCAGCCACAGCTGCTTCTCTCCTGTGGACATAGCATAGGACAAGAAGGACTTTTCCAGAAAGAGGAAACCCTGTGGCTTGGAGGTCCAAGGCAGAGCTGGACCACAGTATACAGTTTTCCAGTGAGTGTTTGAGTTGAGAATAGTTTGGTTAGCGCTCACTAAGTGTTCACTGAGTCAGCCACCGTTCTTGGCACTTTCCATATTTTAATTCAGTCACTCACAATGTGACCCTACAAGGCAGGTTCTCCCATTACCCTCATTTTTAGAGATGAGGAAGCTGATGTAGAGAGAGGCTGTATCACTTGCTTAAAGCCACCCCATAATTAAGTGCCTGGATTTGAATCTGGAAGTCCAACCTTGGCTCTTCACAGTTAACCACTAGATTATTAGCCAAGAAGCAAAGGCCAAGGAAGAGATCCAGCTGCAAAGTGCCTTCTGCTTGGCCTGTCCTTGAAGAGACAGCAGAGCAGATCTCTGAAGATCTGTGCAGCCTGGGGGAGTCACAGTGGCAGTCCCACGACAGCCCTAGCCTTCCCTTCCTTCAGTTACTCATGTCTGTCTCTCTGACTCCCAAAGCCTTTAGAGACAGTACGTTCCCCATGCTTTGGAAGAAAGAGGGTCTGCTATGGACAGGAAAGGGTCTGCAGCCCCTCATCAGAACCCTGACTCCTTGGGGAGCATAAGGAAGCTCCCCATCTCGCAGTGCCCTACTAGTCAGTGAGTCATGTCTATCCCCATAACGGTCTACTTACAGCGTTGGTGAAATCCTCCTCTGAAAAGTGGGGACACTGGTTCAGAGAGGCCTGGTGACTTCCCTGAGGCCACAGAGTTAGGAGAGCAGGGCCCTCCCAAGGCAGTGTATGTAAGAGGACTCTCACACTAAAGCTCCTGAGGGCTGACAGGAACACAGGGGCTCCTGTCCCCTTGCGGAGTCCTTTGTATGAATTTGGCGTGCTTGCATATTGAGTGGCAGAATGTTCCTCTGTTGTCATGGAAGAATGCTGTGTGATGGTTCAGGAGACTGGGCTGACACCCCAAGTCTGCACTCCACGACTCATCCATGGGAATCTGTGGACACTGGAGCACACAGACCAACGTCGTGGAGAGGAACATTGAGCCTCTTGCTTCTGTGGTCACCACTGTTCTTCTCTGCCCTAGCCTGAGACTCCCAGATGAGGGACTTGGAGTTTTAAACCAAGACAGCTGAGCTGGTCATGTCCCTGTACCCAGATCTCTAACCACAGGCTTCACAATCACAGAAGCCCATGAGCCTTAGTGGAAAATGCTACAGAAATCCACACATGGTCAGGAAGTCTGGGGATTTGGGTCGAGCAAGAGTTCAGTGACCTCAAGCCCACCACGTGCCAGGCCATGGGACTTCCCCTGTGATGACACAGATAGTCTGTTTATTTAGGGGGAGGAGTGAGCTTGGTTCCAGACTCTGGTCTGGATTCAGATCCTGCCATCATCTGGCAGCCTGGCTTGCGGAGGACAAAGGAGTCTCAGCTATAGGATCCCCCTCAGAAACGGGGCTAGCTCCCGGGAAACTGTCTAGGATGGAATACTTTCAGCACTAAACAGAGGCAGTGCCTGATCCAGTGTTGGCCACCCTATAGTCACCATTCAGGAGCCGTGTGAATGTGTTGTGTGATCCTGAGCAAATGTCTTAACTCTCCTGAGCCTCAATGTCCTTCTCTCGAATATGGGGACTGTAATGACATCGTCCTTGGCTCCTAGACACACTGTGAGTACCAACTAAACTAACACACGTGAAATCTCATCACAGAATCTAACATGACACGTGGTAGAGACTCAGACCATTATTACTATTAATTATTATAAAATAATTAGTAGCGTTAGTTGTGAACAACACATTTTTCCGACAGTGGGAAACTGATTCCAAGTCCCAATCTAGTGCTTAACTCTATAAATTTATATAAAGGCAGAAATCAAGAGGGGACCCAGCAAGGATTCCAGACCCATCTATCCAAACTGTCCGTCTCAGAAGAAATCTGTTGAGGAGAGATTTGGGGATTAAAATGCTCACTCTCCTAGAAGCAGTGGGTGGCCCTTACTTTAACAACATACTTGGACCCAGCTCATGAACTTTTTCTCTGCTGCTTGCTTTTGTGGAGCAGGCCAGCCTGTCGTCAGGGGCAAGTCACTGCAGCCCAAGCCAGATTCTGCCAAGTGACTTGCTGGGTGACACCACCTCCAGGGTCCCTCGCTGCTCACCTATGTCCATACTGGACGCTACAAGATAGAGCTTCTGGAACCTGGTGCTGGGTTGTCTACCTATGCACAGCTGCTTTCCTGTGCTCCTTGCCTGTGATGCCCTGATTCTATTGGTGAAGAGAGATCAGTTCTGGGAGGGCTTAGAGCAGAGTGGAGCAGGAGTAGGGTGTGATTAGAGGCATTAGTGGCTCTTGATTCCATCTTCTAAGCTACATCCTCAATGTCAAGAGGACTTGGCTCTCACTTAGCTTCTCCTATCTCAGTCCCTGGAGGAATCATGTACCAGGAACTGCACATGCCCACAACTAAGACAGGTCTTCCCATGTCCATGGATGTAATCAAGATAATTTCCCCCAGGTAAGCACCGAGGTCCATCTCCCAGGTGGTTCTGGATTCTGTCAGGTTGACAATTAACACCAACCATCATAGTAGATGAGTTCCAGAGGCAGGGAAATAGCCCCTGCAGGACTAAAGATGGTAAAGATAAAAATAAAAGTCACCACACAGAGTGTCGCCTCCCAGGATTGTGCAGGGGAATCAGTGAGTGACATAAGCAGTGAAAACATGAGTTCCTGTCTATTTGAACTCACTGCGCTATCCATCTCTACACTCGATACATCTTCTGTATCTTTATGTGTGACGCCTGGCTTTAAATGTCAACTTGCCACAACCTAGACTTACCTGAGAAGAGCATTTCGATTGAGGAATTATTTATATCAGAGAGGCCTGTGGGCATATCTGTGGGGGATTGTCTTGATGATTCATTGACGTAAGGGTGGCACCATCACCCATGCTGAGGGTTCGGAACTTGAAGCAGGAGAAAGCTGGCGGCATAGGCAGGCAGGCAGCATGGTTTTGTTGGCTTCTCTCTTCTCTGGATTATAGATGTGATGTGACTAGCCGCTTGAGTTCCTGCCTTCCACCGAATAATGGGCTGTTTCATGAAAGCGTGAGCCAGATAAACCCTTTGCCCCTCCTGAGATGTGTTTGGTCAGGGTGCCTTATCGAAGAAACAGAAAGGAAACCAGAACACTGTGCATTGTGTGTTTAATTCTTCAAACAATCCCATTTGTTACATACAGACTATGTTACATTGTCTATAAGAGAGCACACCAATAAAATGTGGTGTATGACATTACACTGCAAATAATGACCTTGGCAATGTCACACAGCTTGCCCAAGGGCACAAGCCTGGGCCCCAGATCTCTGGTTTCATAGCCTTGTGCCTAGAATCCATTGTTTGAGTTCGCGAGCAGCAGCTCCCTGTGTCCTGGCCAGGCCACCCCATGAATTATCTTCTCCTCTCTGTCTCGTGCAGTGTGAGGGAGCGGTGTCTGGAGGAACAGAAGCGGAGGCGACAGCGTGCCACCAAAAAGATCAGCACCTTCATAGGGACCTTCCTCGTGTGCTTTGCCCCCTATGTGATTACCAGGTAAGCTGACCTGTGAATGAGGACCAGGGCTCGGAGGGCCAGCGGGGGGGGGGGGGGGGGGGGGGGGGGGGGGGGGGGGGGGGGGGGGGGGGGGGGGGGGGGGGGGCTCTTGCCCGCACGTCTTTCTTGAGAGAATGGCAGGCTGAGAATGAACACTTAAATGCTTCTCTTCAGCCTCTGACTTTCCCTGATCAATAACTAACATTTTAAAGATTTATTTTGAATTCTGTGTCTGTCTGTCTGTGTCTGTGTGTCGGTACTGGTGAGTGCAGGTATCGGTAGAGGCCGGAAGAGAGTTTTGGGGTTCCCTGGAGCTGGCATTATAGGAGGTTGTGAGCTGCAGAGAACTGAACTCAGGTCCTCTTCTTAAGCAGTGTGAGCTTGTAGCCACTGAGCTCTCTCTCTAGCCCTTTAATTAACATTTTTATTACACATAGTTACCAGTACCTCCTGATGATTCAATACGTGTATTCAATGGGTACTAATCAAATCAGGGTAGTTAACGTGTCCTGTTCCTCTAACAACTTTCACAGTTCTGATTACCACGTAATCACTGCACAAACCTATGAGGCATTATGTGAAATTACACTGCACATACACAACATGTACTGGTCAAATTGGGGTAATTTATTCTCCATTTCCTTGTCATTACCGTGTGTTTGGGGCCTCCAAGCACCTCTCTGTTCATTATTTATAACGTATGTAACAGGCTGTTGTGAAGTGCAGTACCCCCCCCCACCCGTACTGGGGTGTAGAATGTGAGAACATGTTTATCATGTCTGTTTTAATGCCCATTATCCACCCTTTCTCCATCATCCCCTTCATCCCATCTCCTCAGCATCACTGCTGCATATTCTGATGGGCTTTTTAAGGAATGTTTTTTATAAGACAACAGGTGGCACCTATCTGAGCTATTTCATCGTGTCTTCTGGCTCCACACATTTGTCCGAATGACATCCTGTTGTGTATCGATTCCACATTTTCTTTGTTTGTTTGCGGCCCCAGGTTGTTTCTGCCTCAGCTGCTATGAACGGTGCTTCAGTAAATACAGCATGCAGGTACCTGTGGGAGTCTCATTTCGTTTCTTTTGTTTGGTCTTGTACCCAGAAGTGGGCCAGCTGTTCCATATAGGGGATCAACCTGATTTGGGGGAAACCTTGGCATTACTCTCCATAATCAGCCTTAGATGCTTATGTGTTAACCTCAGTACCCCACGGTGGAAGACTCTTCACTCTATCTCCAGATAACCTCATTCTAACTCTTCACCCGACACTCATACTCCAGGAGGCACTGGCCAGAAGAAACAGGGAGGAAAGATGGAGGGAAGCATTGCACAGTGCAGGGTCCCACTACCTGCTGTCCTGGGTAGCCAGCCCCTGAACAGTCTACTTCAGAGATCCCCTCCACTCGAATAAAAACACATTTCTCTCTGTGCCCTTCCAGGCAGGCCACCACGCTTGCAGCTGTGCTGTGAGGCCGGTGACTGTCTGTTTGTCCTCTTCCCAGAGCACCAAGAGCCAGGCAGGGCTGTAGTTCACTGACACCAGGGAGCAGCAGCATTGCTAGGCTAGCCTGCTCCTGCTGTGAGAGGTGCCCATGCCAGTGTCAGTCAGGAAAAAAGAAAGAAAGAAAAGAAAAAGGAAGAAAGAAAAGGATTCCCTCTCTCCTTGCTTCCCTCTCCCAAGCTGCTTTGTGGACTGGTGGGGGGGTGGGGGGGTGGAATCCTACAGCTTTGTATCCTAAGTAGTTCTGTGATCTGTGAAGTTGGGAGATCACAAAGGACAGTGGTTCTATTAAGACGTGGAGGCGGGAGCTTTGATTGAGTCTTGGAAATGGTTTCATTCTCTCTCTCTCTCTCTCTCTCTCTCTCTCTCTCTCTCTCTCTGTG